AACCAGCCCAGCTCCCTTTTCCCAACTAAACACATCTCCCTCCCACCTCCCTGCCTATTCTCTAAGGTCGCTCAGTGCACGAGACCAAATTTGGACTCAAGACCACTACGCTTTGCGAACTTAGAACTCCAAGTCTCAGAACTCAGGGCAATTTTTAAACCAGCCTAACCACCTGGATTTATTCCCACGTACGGATCAACCCTCGGCCCAGATCCATCTGAAAGATATCAGCCGAGTTCCTTTCCTTCCCCAATTCTAATCTCAAACTCCACCCTCTTATTTCTCTTTCTATGGACAAGTTCCCAACTCTAACAAAACTTCTATAAATTCCATCGGCCCAAAGCAAATGTGTTCTCCAAAGGTCTCTGGATCCCACCAGGCCCCGCCTCTGTAATTCAGAGCTCTGGGCCCTCATTTATCTTTCTGGCTCCCTCAGGCATCGATGCAGCTTTGCCCTCACCGACACCACGGGAACTTTCACCTCCGACGTGCTGCACCTCACACAACATGGTGGCTCGGGGGCCAGAAAGCACTGTGACGTCTGCACACCGTGGAGGACTGACTTCTCTGGGGACCCATGCTTGCCCTTGCATGCGCACTCCTCTTACTCACTCGACTCCCTCCCTCCTCCCCTCCCATGCTGTCATGAACTCTCTGGTTGGACTCTCTTTCTCTCCAGGTGGTCTTCTGTCGTAATAAAGACCAAACCCCTCTGTTTCAAAATACCAACACCTCTCTAATTCCAGCCCCCCTGATCTAAGCCAAGTCCCCCACCTGCACGAGGTTCCCTTACAACCACAGTGACAACAAAACGATGTTTTCTCACATCATGAGATGGTTTCCAGACCTTTCCACAACTTGTAGCAGAACACTGATTACTCAGTTCCAGATTTTACTTAAAGCAATGTGACCCCCTCTCGGCAGATTCACCCATATTTCCAGCATTTAGAACCCAGAGTCACCCTGCAAGTTGGTAAACTATCCCCCGAGACACTGACAGCAGCTCACCACCCCCTCCATCTTAATGCACGTCTCACCATGATTGCTGCTCCACCAAACTCGATGTCCACAGTAAAATGTAAGGGTCCTGGAGACCTAGAGGATGCTACAGACAAAGGTCTGACGTGGCTCTCCGAGAGCCGGCGTGTGGGGCAGCAGCGTCAGAGGGGAGCCTGGGGAGGAGGGCACGGGGCAGCAGC